GGAGTCGCACATGCGAAGCGCGAAACACAAAGCAGTGGAGTCGCACATGCGAAGCGCGAAACACAAAGCAGTGGGGTCGCACATGAGAAGCGCGAAACACAAAGCATCAAAATGGAGTTACAGAGAAACAGCCGGTATTTCTCAGTTTAGTTCCACCCTTGTCTCTTCAACGCCTCCACTTATCACCAAATCAAACATACTAAGAAAACCATACAAAGAAAAATAGCTGCAAAAAAGACTTAGCACTGGTTATGTTGGGGCTTTAAAACTGATTTGTTTGGTTCCCTGCTAAAACAAAGTTTGTGAATTCAGTTAAATAATTGTTGAAATATATCTGTCATTTGTGTGTTTTTAGCTTTCTTCCTGTATGGGAAGCTTTTCAACATTTGAAACGTTAGTGCAGTGGTTTATGTTAGAATAAACCTTTGGGTTTTTCTTGTGTTTCTTGTAAATTTGGTCTTAAATTTTTATTTTAAATGGCATTTGTAAGTCTTGAATTTAACTTGCCTTATGCTGTAGGAACCCTGGTAACATGGGAAAGTTTGGGAACTCAGACTGCATGTTTTCCCCATCCTCAGATTCCAACTCCGGGTTTGTCATTGAGGATTCCTACCAGGTCTGTGTGATGAAAGGCGTCAAGAAGTCTCTGACCAAATCCCAGAAAGCTCCATCCAAGAAACTAAAACCAGCGCTGGCTTCAAAAAGACACTCCTGCTGTTTCTCAGGTTGGTTTTATCACCTAAACACGTCTTCATTTTCCACTTTCATAAGTTTGTCCCACGGAGCTCCTCTCTGGAACCAGTTTTCATATATTTTAGAACCATTTTTCTCAAAAACTGACCACCTTTTAAGCCTAGCCTTAAAAGTAGACACGGACTAAAACTGGTAGTTGGTTCCACAGGAGAGGAGCCTGAGAACTAAAAGATCTGCCTCCAGTTCTACTTTTAGAAATTCTAGGAACCATTAGTAAGATCCACTGAATCAGTTTTTACAATCCATTATTTATTAACAATAAATGCCTTGTCACCGTTTATCTAGACCATTTTGAAGTTGGAAAAGCCTGCACTGATTGTTTTAGCTTTAGTGAGACCAAAACTAAAGAAAAAACTTTATTTATTTATACTCTTGATTAACAAAAACTAAACTTATGGTTAAAACAGTTTCACCTACAATAAGATCCACTTAAATTTTTTATAATCACCTCTTACAACTTGGAAAAAATGCACAGAGAGCCTCTCAAACTGCCTTATAATGCCACGACTATCCAGGAAATAATAAAAAAAAAAAAGGTAAACTACAAAGTTAGAATATTTAGAGGTGGAGAAATAATTTTATGACATTAAAAGGAAACATTTACATCTTAATACGATGGGAAGAAATAGAGAAACCATGAGAGAAATAGAATGTCAGTGAGAAATTCAATTTTTATTGTGGATGTAATTAGGGGTGTAAATCACATCCATCATGGCGATTCGATTCAGTATCGATTTCCTGACCCAACGATTCGATTATTTTCGACACTCAAGAATACACCACGATACGATTCGATTTGATTATTTGGTTCTATTTCTAAATCAATGAAAGCTGTAATATCGTTATGCATTTTTTTTTCTTTAGAAACAACAGCAAATAACAGAAGTAGAAAAGTTGTGCTCCACCCATTCCTATTAAAACCTGATTCACTGAAAAATAATAATATCCCTGCGTTATAGATTCTAAAAGGTCTTGCATAAAAAAATACTGCACAAAATCAGTGCAATGAGTGCAATGCAATACCTCTGCTCCAGACGTCCCGCCCCCTCCACAGACGCTCCGCCGCTCCTCTCCCAAATTGTAGCTGACCGCAAACAGTGTCGCAGACAGGAGGCCGGCTTGTTTTGTTTTTAT